ACCCCAACTCAGTGGGACTTGGGCTAAGTCATTCTCTCAGTTCTGGTGTCCCCCGAGTTACCATAATTCACATTCCTTTAGGTTTCTTCTAGTCCAAAGAGCTGAGGGACATGCTTTCCTCCCTCCCACTTCCTAACTACATTTTACTGTGATCCACACAGCTGAGAGAGTCTACACACCTCCTCAAGGAAACCCCAGTGTAGCACATTCTATCAGAGCCCAGACCATATATCATGCTGAGCATGCCAGCCCAATTTCCAATGGAGAACACCTATGAGCCTCGCCTGTGGGCTCTTTCTGGCCCCAGGAGCATGCCCATGTAGCAGGACACAAGTGCTGAGGAATTATCACTCCCAGAAAAGCTGTGTGTTGTGTTCTCTTACGTGGTGGTCTGTCAGGTGTAGCCACAAAAGAACACAGAAGAGGCATAGGAAAAAGTAGTTTTTTATACTCACAGGTCCTAGAGAGACTGCATCCCAAGAGGAGGGGTCACATGGGAGGGAGCACTGATAGACTGCATCCCAAGAAGAGGGGTCACATGTGAGGGAGCACTGATAGAGCAGGCTCAACCAGGCAGGTGAGGAGCAGACAGAGAGGGGAGAGCCTGTGGGCAAGTGCCTTAATCAGGGGGTCAGGGTGGAACACACAAGAAAAGTGCAAGGGAATTTCACTGGTGTGTTTAAATGTTACTAAGTCACAGTCAAGGGAGGGTGGGAAGAGGAACTTGTGGCAGGGACCAACTTTATCACACTGGTACACCTGGTTGCCTGGACAGGGTGCTCACAACCTATTTGTAGGGATGTTGAAGCAGCAGGAAAACATGAATTTTGAAAATTTACAATACAAGGAGACACTCCATCAGTGATTGACAGAAACTGGTGGATAAATACCCCAGCTCCCTCTCTCAGACAGTATAACTCTGAGGCATGGGGTCTGTCTTGTTTCCCAGAGGTTCCCAGCAAGAATAAGCTCCAGTTGCCTTTAGTGGTACCTTAGTAACAGAGAATGCTTTACTGGCTTATTCTCCCTTCCTGCCTGCCTTCCCCACTCACCTACCTGGGATCCTTGTGAGCACCTCCCAAATCAGCTACCTGCTTGTGAATCCTTGTCTTACAATTTACATTTTGGGGACTCCAAACTAGGCCAACCAGTGATAACCGTAGGCTAGTCCTCACCAAATGTTCACTCAACACCTGCTGTATAAGTATTACTGTAGAGCTCTAGGAATTGCAAGTTCAAGACCTTGTACTTCAATTTCAGAAATTAATCTTATTTGTGTGATTTTTTTCAAACTATGTTCTAGTAACTTCTAAGAGCATCCAAAAGCATCAGGAGAATTCCACACAATATTGTGGCCATCTTAGCAACAGGAAATTTTGAGAAAGTACAGGGGTTGATTAGGGGCCTGATAATCTTAAAATTAATTAACAGTAGGAGAATCTAAATGGTAATTACTTGTTATTTCCACCACAGGATATGAAGTGCTTGTGATCAACACCTACAGGTTGCTAAGAATTCATTCAGCAGGCTTTCAAGTGGTACACATTGTATATTTTTTGAGGAGCAAAGATAAATCTGAGTTTATCTTTGCTGTCATGACTGGTTTACATTACCCCATATACCACAAGTTACTCTAGCCAATGGAATAAGCCAGTACTTTGTTGATTCTCATTAAGTAGCTTTCAGACTTAGAAAGCCTATGTAGTTGTTATCAAAATGTAGTTTTCAAAATATTTGTCAATTTTATGAAATAGTCACAAACCCAAAACAACAACAAAAAAATACTTGTTATGAATTCTTAGTTAGAAGTTATCCCAAGTCTGTTGACTTCAAATTGTGTATAAAATAACATTTACTAGGTCGGGCGCGGTGGGTCACACCTGTAATTCCAGCACTTTGGGAGGCCAAAGCGGGCAGATCTCAAGGTCAGGAGTTTTCCACCAGCCTGGGCAACATGGTGAAACCCTGTTTCTCCTAAAAATATAAAAATTAGCTGGGCGTGGTGGCACATGCCTGTAATCCCAGCTACTTGGGAGGCTGAGGTAGGAGAATTGCTTGAACCCAGGAGGCAGAGGTTGCAGTGAGCTGAGATCATGCCATTGCACTCCAGCCTGGGCAACAGAGCAAGACCCTGTCTCAAAAAAATAATAATAATTTAATATTTATTTAACAACCTTGGCTACTTAGTTTCCTTTCTGGTCTTCCTAAATTACCATGTTTCTCATTATGGCATGGTAAATAAATACAGGAATGAAGTTACATGAGATGGGCATGCTGCATATAGCTAGAGAGAAGAGAGAGTACATAAGGTTATTTGCCCCTAAAGTGAATAGCCCCCTATTTACTGGTCTTAGCATGGCTAGTAAATATGGGGCTATTTCCTTTGGGGCGAATAACCTTATGTATTTTCATGACCCCTGAAAACACCATCACACTCTAAGGTTATATCAAATGATATGCATCCAAAAATGCTATACTTTTTATTGAAGCAAGGAATTAGGTAGAACACTTTAGAAATATATGACAAAATATTAAATTTAAAAATTGAGATGCAAGAGGAATAAACCTCACTATGTAGCACACTGAACACGTGAAATACTTCATTCCCAAACAATGCTGGAGAAGTGGGGTATGACTACATTAAAACATCTAATTAGTAGGGTCTGTTCTGGGTAGCTTTATTGCAGTCGCTTCACTTGTGCTCAACTCATTGTGCCAATGTAAATACCGCCTGCTTAAAATCATTACAGGAGAATAATGTTTTCCCTTCAGCTAAAAAATGGCACATCCAAAGCAAATGAACTCACCACTGTATGATTTGCTCGTTAATCATTACTAAAGTTGGCCTATAATTACGAAGATACTGATGAGAACACCCTGTCACATCACTTCAGCTCTGCAGCAGGACTTTTAAAAGTCACGTTGAGCATGTTTAAAGCTATTCTTTTGATTTCTTGCTTTCATTTTTTTTTGTTTTTGTTTTTTTTTTTTTTTTTGGTTTTTTAAAGAGAGCAGCCATTCTCTTAAAACATCTTGCATAAATGGATGAATTCAAGCTCTGGCGGACAAATTATCCATCTATGCCATCTTCAAAGACACTACTCATAGCAAGGATGGGATAAGTGTGGAAGGGAACTTCAGAAAGAACAGGATCCTCTTGGTATTAAAGCAAAAACTCCATCCAGAAACACACACACACACACACACCCCACACACACACACCCCACACACACCTTTTATCATACTTCTTTCAACAGCTTTTTTATAGTAATATACACATAACATAAAATGTGCCATTTTAACCATTTTAAAGTATACAATTTAGTGGCATTATGTACATTCAAAATGTTGTACAACCATTGCCACTCCCTAGTTCCACAATTTTTTCATCACCCCTAAAAGAAACCCTGTATTCATTAAGCATCATTCCTCATTCCCTCATTCTCCCCACCCCCAGGCCCTGTTAACTACTCATCCATTTTCTGTCCCTATAGATTTGCCTATTCTGGACATTTCTTGTAATGGAATCATACAATATGTGTCCTTTTGTGTCTGCTGTCTTTCACTTAGCATAATATTTTCCAGGTTCATCCATGTTGTAGCATGTGTCAGAACTTCATTCCTTTTTATGGTTGAATAATATTTCATTGTACAGATGGACTACATTTGATTTATCTATTTCATCATGTTGCTTTTAATATTTAATTGATCTTAAGTATACTTGTATTTGACAAGGATGAGAGTCCTTTTTAAAATTCATTTTACTTGAAAACCAAAGTATGGGTCACCCTAGTTGTCTTTGGTGCCTCTAGATTGGTACAATAAATAGAGGGTTAAGCCTCTGTGTTGTTTCTAGAGTCAGTTACTGGAATTCTTTATGCAACAGCCTCAATGTCTTAAGACTATACAGTATGGAAAACATGAGTTTGAACCATAGGCCATTGCCAATTTGACCATTTTGGTTTATAAAATAACAATCCTATGATTCCAACTATTTACCTCTGTATTAGGTTTCATAGAGAATGTAATTCTTTTTAAAAATAAATAAATGATGCCTGTAACATAGTAAAAAATCTACTAGATGTGACTTCCCTTCCCTTTAGCCTTCTTGAAAATTATGTACCAATGATGATTCTCAGATAAAGTGACTTTACCAAGATCATTCTGCAAGGGGTGCCCCAGTATCACAGCACCCTTCTAAGCAGGTTCTCCCGTTGTACTTCCAATTTCTGAGGAAGAATTGTGCCACATGGCCCCTCTTTCCAATAAAAGAAGGGAGAGGATCATAAAGCACAAAGAGCACATAAGATGAGGAAGAATATGAAGTCAACTTTCAATTGCCAGGAAAGGTCTCATCTCTACCCTGGCCAGTAAGATCATAGGATGACAGGTTACCAAGAAGAGGCTAAAACTCACATAAAGCATGAGGGCTTCAGAGAGAGAGAGAGAGAGAGGGAGAGTGTGTGTGTGTGTGTGTGTGTGTGTGTGTGTGTGAACATGCATATGTGTGCTTGTCTGCTCACGTACCCATATGTCCTTAATGTGAATTACAATGGGATTATGAATCATTTTAGGACTATCAATGACTCTTCTCCACCTCATTAAAATAGATGATTAATGATCAACTCATCATAAACCCAACATTAGTTTTGCTACCACCTCACCTTGCACGCTGTGCTCAAAGCTCTGTATTGGAAGAAGAGTTGTGTGCTTTTGCAGCCATTGTTTTAAAAGATCCCTGGAAATGTGCTCAGTTAAAACATGGAATATGGTGGTGGTAGTTCGGATCTGGTGGCTAAATCAAACTTACTAACTTATAGGCTTGACAGAGTTTTGACTGCATCTATAATACGCATTTTGTCCTTGAATCGGACATGTACCAAGCATTTTATTTTTTAGCAAAATTATTGCATACCTGGAAGGATAAAGATGAACAACAACTGTTACAAGGTTTGCATTATGTTACCAGTAATAAGATAAAATGTTTTCTTTTCTTCTAGTCTCCCAAATCAGCATTTATTAGTGCTGCAAAAAAGGCAAGATTAAAGTCCAATCCAGTCAAAGTACGCTTCTCTGAGGAGGTCATCATCAACGGCCAAGTGTCGGTGAGTTTACAGCCGCTGGCTCTGTGACTCAGGAAGAGTCAATGAGGCAGAAGCTTTGCACTCAAACAAAGTCAGTAGTCCCACTGGGATGATTGTTCTGAAATTGGTTGTTGCTTTTACAGAGGTGTCAAATCTCAAGGGTGTAAAAGTCTTGAGAGATCATCAGGTTGGGCCTGAATCTCCTCTAGCATGGTCAGAATATGCGGTAGTCCAGGATTTCATAGAATCCTTCCAGCATCAGAGACGTCACTACTTTGCAAAGGAGTTCATATGATTTGGGATCACTGACACTGCCTCATTCAGACGAGTAAAATGTGCCCCTTTGAAACTTCCACCTATTTCTTCCCATTCTGCTAACTAAGCATTCTTCCATATGACAGTGCTTTATGTATTTTTGAGAAAGGTATTTTGTTTCCCCTTTTACTTCGCTGGAAAAAGCTAATCTTTCAACTAATCAGTCAAAGAAGTTAAAATGATGGAAAGATTTTGTGTATGCAACCAGAACTAAAGAAATACTGCCCACATCTCCATAAATAGGTCCTGATAGAAATCATGATCACTCAGGCACTTAATTGATCTTCAAAATGAATAATGCAATTATCAACAGGATGTTTTCTTTTCAACTTTTTCTCCTAAAAATATACTGAAGTGTTTTTAGTTTTTATAAAATTATTATCCAAGGCACTAATAATTTTTGGACCTTTGAAATGCCAAAGCATTGGTGGTCTGTTGATATTGTTTAAATAAATCCACAAAGATAAAATCTCACCTACGATATGTTCATTATTAGTCACCAGCTCTTCTCTGAGGTTGGTTCTGGATCTGAATCTGCAGATGTAGGCCTGTACATCCTGGGCCAGGCACTCATACTCCAAGTGTCTTTGAATAAAAACTTACTGACCTAGGGCTGCTCTACTTGGGGTCCAGCTATTGTGATGCTTGTGGGAAAGGCTGGAGGCTATGGCAGTGCTGCCCTGTGAGCGTGGTCTGTTCTGTGCCCCTCAATGGGTCATATCACTCTGGATGCATGGTCACTGTACATTATTAATTTGCAACAAGACTGACCCAGCTGAAGAGTGGAAGGTACAGAGGAATCAATATATAGCAGAAAGTCATCTGAAACTTACCTTTTCTGCCCGGAGCTTTCAAGCATGTAATTGGGCAACCAGATAGTTTATGCATCTTTAGAAAGAATATGATTCTAGAAGCTGCTAGAACAGTGTCAGTTCATCTGTGGATATAGCAGGACTCCTGCAAGGCAGCTGATGTGTGGATGGCAGTGATGTTCAGTCACATGTATGCTCCTCAGACTTTGTGACAGTCTTTATTTCCAGTTTACCCTTGCTCTTCTGAGTCACTGAGTGCCATTTCTTCTGGACTGGGATTCAGACTTATTCAGTGAATTAGAAGCAAGGCTTTGCAGGAGGTCCACAGAAGCAGAAAGGAGAGGGAGGAAGTTCAGGGCAAGAAACTGGAAGTGAAAGGCAGGAGGCCCATTATGGAAGTACTTAGGGACTGAATTCTCTCTGACACTGGCAAATGCCTGTACATCTTGCCTTCATTTGCCTCATGTGCAAAACAAGGGATGTGTGCGCTCGTGACTGCTGAGTTCTCCTCAACTCCTGGGACTTTATGACCAACTATGTGTGAATAACTCAGCTCACTCCTGGGATTTATAGAACTCATTCAGTGTGCCTTCTTCCTCCCTCTTACTTCTCACTACTTCCAATGAAAAAAAAAGGCAAAGAAATACCATTTCTATTGTTTCCTTTTTGTCATGTTTCTAGCTGGCCTCTTTTTTTGAGTTATTTCTAGATTATGATCTTGTTTGTTATAGACGATGTTTTACTCCCTTAACACAATAAGCCATTCCTTCTATTTTCCCTTGGAGTTTAAGAACCATCCCTAACTGGGTGAAAATAGTTTCACAAAATAACTTTATACTTGAAGTGTATTGATGCTCATGACTCACCATCGTGATACTGCCAGGCACCAAGAGTACCCTATCAAACAGCATCATTGCTGGTCTTTGTTCTGTTGAAGATGTCCTGCCCTGCTTAGGTCTGGGCTTATAGTTCCAAATGTCAAAGCCTAATTACAAAAGAATCATGTCTGTAATCATGTTTTCCAGTGGGGATCTTGAGTTAAAAAAAAAAAAAAAAAAACTCATCTGATTGACTTTCTGATGAGCAAATGTATTTTGCTATGAGCAACTGAACTCACATGTCACCAAAGGAATGCCTTGGTTGGCCTTAGAGAGCTTGTTTTTTAATGTCACGCTTCAAATAAAGTATAGATGTGCTATGCTGCTACTGCAAAGAGAATAGTTCTAATTTGATTGACTTATGCCCCCCATCCCGCCACTTCTTTTTGTTAAACAGGAAACTGTTAAGGACAACTCGCTTCTTTTTATGCCAAATGTTTTGAAAGTCTATCTGGAAAATGGGCAGACCAAATCATTTCGCTTTGACTGCAGCACTTCCATTAAGGTAAGATGAGCAGCTAAACTCTGTCCCTGGACTCTTTCAGGTACAACCTGCAGGATACTGTGAGCCATTTGTAGCAGCATCTTCCTTCAGAACAACCCCTTTATTTCTGCAATTTTGTTGATTGCCTCCATACAATGTAGTCTGTCAATACTTAAAACCAAACAAAAACCAAAAGCTTAAACTAAGAAGGTTCTGCTCTTTTATTTCTCTTGGTGCTGCAAAACAATATAATACGCTGTCAGTGAAGAAACACTAGAGCCAGTCATTTTAATGCAACTGCAGATTAATTAAAATAGTGTGACTATCACCAAGAACCCTTGGCACCCTGCCCAAAGCCAGCATGATTTCTCAGCAATATCAGCTGCTCAGAAGATTAAGATGTTAGCTATTAATTGAATATCTGCTACTTTGGTGTCCAGTAAAAAACAAGGGTAGACTAATGTAAAGGTAACATTTACTTTTAATTTCTGTAACCAATTTCATGGTAATGATGCATAAAGAGGCAGAAATGAGGCCTGCTTCTTAGAAGAAGGGCTAGAAAGGAAGACTCACAAAGCAATCCTATTATTTCAGAGCCACAGGTGAGTTTTACATAATAGGTATTATAGCAAAGCGCATGGGGTTTTTCCCCCCATGCTTTCTTCCTGGAAAAGAAAAGTGCAGAGTCTCTTCCTTTAATTGGACAACAGTGTGTTCAGAAATTGATTGCTCCCTAATGCTTCATCAACCTAAAATAGGCTTTCTTCAAATGGCACAGTAAAAAAGATTTTATGTAGGTAAAAGAGTACCTAGTGATGATCTGTACAATAATCTATCAAGAGAATATCAACTCTCTGTTTAAAAATGTCTATCTATAGCCAACCTCTAATTCTTGTGTGTTTTTTAAACTAATCAGCATAGACCTCACATGTAGAAGCATTTCTACAAAGACCCACTCACTGTGTATTCTTATTGTCATGATACCAGCAAGGGGCTTGTTTTGAATTGCTCTAAGTATATAGTGGCTTAGTAGGTCATGCAGTGGAAAATATTAGATTGATGTTGGAGCACAAAATCATCCTTAAATCATTCCAGATGAAATATTAACTTCCTATGTACAAGACTTCTAATTTTAAATGGCAATGACTGGAAAGATCTTCTTCCCATTTTTCTTATTCATTGTCAATTTGTGGTGGGATTTGAATGTAATTATTGAGCAACTAACCCAGGGGCAGGCAAACTTTTTCTGGAAAGGGCTAGATAGTAAATATTTTAGGCTTAGTGGGCCATTTGATATCTGTTTCAACTGCTGAACCCTGTCATTGTATCAGCAAAGCAGCCATGAACAGGTGGGTTTGGTAAGTCCTTAAGACAGTGCTCAGTTTTGATAATTCACTTAAAGGACTCACAGAACTCAGTAATTTGTTATACTCACAATTACAGTATATTATAGCAAAAGAATACAGAATAGAACTAGCAAGGGGAAAGGCTCATCATCAGGGGATAGGAGAGATTGAGTGGAAGGCTTCCAGATGTCCTCTCCCAGTGGATTCATACAGATAGTGCTTAATTCGCCCAGAAATGATGCATGACAATATGCATGAAGTACTGCCAACCAGGGAAGTTCACCCAAGCCTCAGCATCCAGAGTTTTTATTGGGGGTTTGCCACATAGACACAGCTGCCCACCTGCATGGTTGACCTTAGTATCCAGTCTCTCCAGATTTTGAGCTGATACCATATGGCCCAATGTTCTCGCCATAAATCAATTGTTAGCATAGACTATCGGGTATGGCCCAAGGCCACCTAGTAAACAAAAACACTCCTATCAGACAGGACAGTCCAAGAGCTTAGAGGTTACTTCCTAAGAGTGGGAGCAGAAGACCAAATTTTTCTGTAGGCAAGGTTAATCTGTTACTTCACAGTCAATATGTGAACAAATGGTCATGGCCAGATATAACCCACAGGTCATAGTTGGCAGACCTCTGAAATAACCCACAGAGCTACATTATTACAACTCTCTCTGACACCATGGCCTTGTTGTGTGTTGCCAACTGGTCACCTCCCTGCCATTGGACTCCCTACCCCACCTGATGACCTAGGTAAAGACTTGAATGCATTTCTTAACAGAAATAAATCTACATTTAAGAAAGTCCTGTTGTTAATTCCCTCCAGCCTCTTTATTACAGAACGTATGCAAGACTAAGTTTGATTTCCCTGAGGATTGCAGATGACAAGGAGAAGACAGGAAGCAATGCAAAGAGTTCACATCAAATTCAGGTTATCTTATCTTGTACCTAACAGCCTTATTATTACAGTAGACACTGGCTGGTAGGTATAAAATAAAAATAGTATAGTTATGAAAGGAATATGACACTGTGTAATGAAAATTGCCAAAATTCTTGCTGCAGAATTACAATAGGAAAAAACTATTGCTATTGATTTTCCAGTGTCCTCCCAGGTGGTTCAAGAAAATGCTTTCTAAAGTATGTGTTGCCACACAAAGCCTGGTTTTGTTTCCTCTTTCCTGGGCTTTAAGAGAAAATTATAAAGCAGAGAAATCTTTTTTTTTTTTTTAATTCAACATTTCTGTTGAATGATTTTTTTCAGGACTGGGGGTATGTGGGGATCTTTGACTTAATGGGGCCTGAAGAAACTGAAAAAGGACCACAGAGAAGGATCAAAACATCAGAAAAGTCGGTAAAAGAAAACTAAGTATGTCAGGATTTCTCTGTCTTGGCACTATTGAGATATTGGGCCAAATCATTCTTCACTGTGGATCTGTCTCTGCATTGCAAGATGTTGAGCAGCACCTCTGACCTCTACACACTCCATGGCAGTAGTGCCCCAACACCACTGTGACAACCAAAAATGTCTCCATATATTTCCAAATGTTGCAGTGGGGCAAAACTTCCCTATAGGTCTTTTAGCATCTGAGTCTAAATTATCCTCGAGGGATCATTTACTAGTTTTCAAGTACATGAAAAAAAAAAGTGTAGGTTGAAGAGATTAGTTTTACATTGTAGTAAATGTGTGTGTTTGTATATGGAACACCCTTCTGATCATAAATGCTTAATCCTGTAAAAGATTGCTGACAAAGCTTGCTCATTCCACCTTCCCCAGAGATGTAAAATAAATATATGTATATTATTATGGTGCCCTCACTCTGTGCCAAACAATGTTATAATAAATGCTTTGTATGTGTAAACTCATTTAATCTTTATATCCGTCCTGAGATAAGCATTATTATTATCCGCAGTTTACACAAAGGGAAACTAAGATACTTAGCAACTAAATAACTTGCCCAGAGGTAGTAGAGCTGGGATTAGAAACCAGACTGCTTCCTCAGCCCCCATTCCTTACAACCACTACACTGCTCTTTCAGAAGGGTAAGCCAGGGTCAGCAAGCAGATATTTCAGTCTTCACAGTCTCTGTTGCAACTACTCAACTCTGCTGATGCAACACACAACAGCAGCCATAGATTTTAGATAAACAAATAGGCATGACTATGTCCCAATAAAACTTTATTTACAAAAGCTGATGGTGAGCTAGGTTTGGCATGCAGGCCATGTTTTCCAACCCTTAGGGCAGACCACTTTCAGAACTAGTTTAATTGCTACCCCATTTAGTAGAAAGGAGAATCGAACTGGCTACACTCCACAATCTATTGATGATATTTCTATATCAAGCGCTTACATGATATTAACCTCCTCCTCCAGCTATTTACCTTGGTAACTCTCTGTTTTGAACTCCATAAAGATTTTGAATGATTGAGGAGGCCAGGAAAAGGGCAAGAGAAGCAAGGCCTCATTTCTGTATCTTTTCGGATCTTTGGAGCGTTAAATTTCAGATTCAACCAAAGGTACAAAATTTCAAGATTGGAAGCCTACATGTGTAACACTTTTCAGTCATGATAGACTCCACAACATGGCGGTCTTGATTTTGGTCTCATCGTGTTCATGTTTCCTCCGTAAGGATGTCATCTTAACCCTTCAAGAGAAGCTCTCCATCAAAGGCATTGAACACTTCTCTCTCATGCTGGAGCAGAGGACAGAAGGGGCTGGAACGAAGCTACTCTTGCTTCATGAACAGGAGACTCTAACTCAGGTCTGTGAAATTTCACCCTTAAGTGATGAGACTGCTGTTTAGAGCAGAGGTTGCCCAGTCTAAGATTTCTCCCCCACTCTAATCTATAAATGTACTAATTATATCCCTGGGTATCCTCTGTAAAGGAAGTGCTGGCAGTCTTAATGCATTTTGCACCTCAAGGTCATGTTTCCCTTTCTGCCAATCTTTTGCAGACTGTCAGTCTCACAACCAGATTTGTTATTCAAAGTCTCACCAGCTACACATTGAGAATATAGATCTGTAAAATTATATTTTTTGTTATTACAGTGACCTCTTCACCTGTTTTGGTCAACAGTCTCTTGAAACTATTAAAAAAAATGGTTTCTGAGATTACTTAAATTAATCCAAAATCATATTTAGTTGTTTGAAATTCTGGGTGCATACTTAAGACTATTTTTGGAAGCCTGAAATCTCTGCCCCAGTCCTGCCCGCTATAAATATGTGATCTACCAATGTGTCCCAGTTCCTGATTACCAAGATGCCACCCCCATCTGTTCCCTGGGGAGACAAGCAGGCTGCTCGGCTGCTGAATTCGGCACAGCACCCTGACTTTTCTTCTGACACAAGCAGAGTCTTTGTCAAATGTATAAGAGATTTCAACAAATTCCTCTTCCATGGGAGAGATCAGTGATGACAGAACTTTAGGGAGAGGGGTAGGAGGGGACACCAGGAGGAGACGCATCAGATGCTGCCAGCTGGATGGAGTGGCAAAAAGTGTTGTCACACTAAATTTCTTCTTGGTTGTTGTATATAAAAGCTGGTATCCCATACATTGGGTGGTCCTGCAGATATCCCTGATTCTCTTGATTCGGTCCAACTTTTTGTAATAGATAAGTTTGAAAGTTGCCATCTGTGTTGATTTATATTCCTCTACCTAAACTTGGCCTATTATTTCTATCAATTTTTTTTTTTTTTTTTTTGGTTTTTGGTTTTTGGTTTTTTGAGACAGAGTCTCACTCTGTTGCCCAGACTGGAGTACAGTGGCATAATCATATGTCACTGCAGGCTTGAACTCCTGGGCTCAAATGATCCTCCCACTTTCGCCTTGCAAAGTGCTGGGACTACAGGAATGAGCCACCATGCCTGGCCTCTATTGAGTCTAAATCTACCTATTGATTTTTTAAATCGCTTCTAATGGTTATTATTTTAACCTGTGCCAAACACTCTTGGAAATAAATAAATGACTTATTTTATGCTTCGTTACAGGGGCACAACCCCTGATATATAGGATCTCTCATGTGAAAGGTCAGTGTCTGGATCTGAGTTTCCCCAGAAGCAGAACTTAAGGATTTGAATGCATGTAGTTTATTTGAGAAGAGATCTCTGGAAATACCGGCAGAGGAATTGGGAAGAGAGATGAGAAAAATTGAGAAAACAATAAAGAATGTGTTACTGGCTGGGTGCAGTGGCTCCAGCCTGTAATCCCAGCACTTTGGGAGGCCGAGGCAGGCGAACCACCTGAGGTCAGGAGTTCAAGTGCAGCCTGACCGACATGGTGAAGCTCTACGAAAAATACAAAACTTAGCCAGGTGCAGTGGCAGGGGCCTGTGATCCCAGGTACTAGGGAGGCTGAGGCAGGAGAATTGCTTGAACCCGGGAGGTGGAGGTTGCAGTGAGCAAAGATCACAACACTGCATTCCAGCTTGGGTGACAGAGTAAGACCTTGTCTCAAAAAAAAAAAAAAAAAAAAAAAAGAATGTATTATCAAGCCAGTTTCCACTGTGGGCAACTGGAACTCAGTCCACTGGAGAGCATTGGGAGACAATGTAGGACAACCTAAGAGGTATCCCACCGAGGGGTGAGGGAGCTAGGGCATGTGCCTACCAGCACTCTGTTATTGATGGTGGGCTGCCCTCTTGTTATTCGGGCTTGCCTTGTGTTGTTCAATGGTCACAGGTGTTTGCCGTAAATACCCATCAGCTTATAGCAATAAATGCCAAGGGGATACGGGCAGACAGCCAGTTACTACAAGTCTGATGAAACCTCCCACAACGTTTTGATCTTTCCAGTTTTACTTTCTCTCTAAACTTTTGTCTACTACATAGCCTTTATAGGAAAGCTTCATGCTGATTTAGTTGGACGAAGTTTCTTTAAAAGTCTCTTCTGATGCTAAGTAAACAAAACTTCTTGCTCCAATTACTGCATTTCTTTTAAAATGTTGGAAGGAAACAAAAAAAAAAACTTCTAACAATCATTCCTTCTTTATTTTTCATTATAGAATCAGAACTAAAAGCGAAGTGCTAAAAATCGAGTATTATCTCTAGAAAGGAAAATGGATTTAAATATCCTGAAAGAAACCAGCTATATGCCTTTGAAATCAATGCATATGAAAAAATCGATTGCTAAAATATTTATAGGCATGATAAAAGCAGAGTAAGAAATTATAATTGTTCCAATAACAAAATCATTTTAAAACATTTAATTTCTGTGAAAACCCCCCAATGGAACTTTTAAGTAACTCTACCTGAATTTCTGGTGGTTTGATATTAAACTTCTGCTATGAAATATTATTTATATACTACTCAAAGTTTCCAAGAAATCGTTTCTGTTTGTCTTAGTGTTATTCTTATGGACTGCCATTTCTAATGACTTGAAGCCACCTTTTTGCATTACATTGATTTGTTTTCCAAAACTACTGTAACCTTCTGATACTAAAAGTAAACCCAAGATGGCTTATGGAAAATTCAAGAAAGAAAAGTTTTAACCAGTAGTTAAAGGAGTCAGAGATTTGGTGATTCCTGACTTTCTAACACACCAGAGCAAACCTTCTGGCAAAATAGCCCATGAAGTCACTGTGAAATACAACAGCAGGGCTGACCAGCACTAGTGGCCTTTTAGAGTCCCCTATTTCTTTATTCCTGGTTTGCTTTACCATCAGCCAGTGATGAGCAGCTCATAGCCCTCGGGTCTCATGAGTCCACTCAGCTTTGCAGGCCTGCCCACAGCCAGAAAGCTGGTGCTCAGCTTTCTCAGGATGCTCGTATATGTAAAAGTAGGGCGTCTTTTTCCATTGGAATTCTTCTGTTCAACAAAGTTAACAAACTGTAAAAACATACATGTGCATACATACACACACCATGGGACTCAAAGCTATTTTATTTTAAATTTTTTAATTGCAGCTCACAAACATTTTTATATTGCCAGATTTGTCCCCTGCGTAAGGGTACTTACACACAACTGTGCTGGTTCATGCTGCGTGGTTTTCATTTTGTTTTGTTGATGTGTTGAAGGGAAATCGATGAGCTGTTGCCTTCTTTCTTAGAGTCCAATGTCTTCCTTTCATTCGTGTTTATTAAACACACATTATTTACTAATTGATTTCCTTTTGTTGCAAAAGGAATTAAGAAATGAACTTCTAGTATGTGACCATATTATAGTGTTTAACAGGAAAACAAACTGAAATGAACCATGGTCCTTAACCCTGAAGAAACTGTGGTATATTTTAAACTCCTTTGAACAAGTGGAACAATATCATCATGGTATCAGAAGTTTGGAGTCGTTTGGAAACTTGTAGAATCTGATGTACTGCCTGGGCCAAAACTTCTGTCTTCCTACTTTCCAATGTGATGTCATCCAAGGTTGACACTATCATGCTTTCATTGCAATAGTCTGGAGTCTAATTTGGAAAAAACAGAGCAATTAGAAACTGTACTGGACATTCTCTCTGCTGTCCCTTTGGATCCTCTTTTTGTTCTCCCCAACATAGATTTGGGGTGCTATCACTAACAGCCAGCATCTACAGATCTTCTTCCAAGAACTGTCCTCAGACTACTGGAGCCCATCATGTCCAAACTGGGAAACTCATATTCCCTGGGACAGCTCTAAATGAATGACTCATCAGTGCTCCTTTGACTCAGGTCTCAGCAGCTGCATGGTATAGCTACCACTCCAGGGTCCCCTGCAGGACCCGGGTATAGCTACTCTCTGCTGGGCTTTCCTGAGAAGGCACCCTTGCTTAGCTTCCTCTTCTTTTCTGACCTGCTTCCCCTACTCCATTACTAGCCTCTCCTGGGAGCATTTTCTTAATAAGTCCCTTGCACACAAACCCTCATCTCCGGGTCTGCTTCTGGGGAACCCAATCTAACTGGCAAAGTTATGTGCAGTTTTCAGGGAATGAGTATCTATCATAAATACTAAAAGAATATCCACTGATTCTTTCCTGAGTGTCCAAAGAAAGTTGACTGCTTCAGTGTCCCTCAGCCATTTCTCAGTCAGCACTGGGGGGTTCTTATGTGATTGGTCTACTCTTCCAGGTGACACAGAGGCCCAGCTCCCACAAGATGAGATGTCTTTTTCGAATTAGCTTCGTCCCAAAAGATCCCATTGACCTTTTAAGGAGAGATCCAGTTGCTTTCGAATATCTCTATGTTCAGGTATGTTAAAATTTCAGCATGTTTTATATCAATTTTGTGGCATAAACTAACTTTGGGGCTTTGCCCTCAATTCTTTAATTTGAAATCTTTCTTTTTTGTCCCCCACCTCAAGCTCAGTGAATTGTACAATAATTCTGTGGTGCTCTTTTTATTTTTACCTTAGATTCTGAAATAATTTCATACTTCCAAAAACGTTGCAAGAGTAGTCTTCCATACCCTTCACCCAGATTCACTAGTTGTTAACATTTTACTACATTGGGCCGGGTGCGGTGGCTCAAGCCTGTAATCCCAGCACTTTGGGAGGCCGAGGTGGGTGGATCACGAGGTCAAGAGATCGAGACCATCCTGGTCAACATGGTGAAACCCCGTCTCTACTAAAAATACAAAACATTAGCTGGGCATGGTGGTGCGTGCCTGTAATCCCAGCTACTCAGGAGGCTGAGGCAGGAGAATTGCCTGAACCCAGGAGGCAGAGGTTGTGGTGAGCCGAGATCGCGCCATTGCACTCCAGCCTGGGTAACATGAGAGAAACTCCGTCTCAAAAAAAAAAAAACATTTTACTACATTTACTTTCTCTTTGCTAGATGCACATGTTCTCTCTCTCTCTACACAAATACACACACAAATGTATATTATTTTTTTCTAAACCATATGAAAGCCAGTTACCAAAATAATGCATGTTTACTCCTAAATACTTCAATGTGTATTTTCTAATAACAAGGGCATTTTCTTATACAATTATTATATAAGTAACAAAATCAGAAAAGTAAACATTGATGCATTTCCATTATCACATCTATTGTTTATATCCATAGTATGCCTATTATCCTCAAAATGTCTTTTATATATTCATTTTTTCTAGAACAAGATGCACTGCAGGATCCCATTTTGCATTTAGTTGTCATGTCTCTTTAGTCTACTTAAATCTGGAATATTCCTCAGCCCTTTTTCGGCTTTCACAACCTTGATAGTTTTGAGGAGTACTGGTCAGCTATTTTATAGAAATCTCTCAATTTGGGTTTCTCTGATGTTTTCTTATGATTAGACTGATGTTACACATTTTCGGAAGAACAACATGAGTGACTTTGTATTATCAGTGTAACACATCAAGAGGTACATGATGTTAGTTTATCCCTTCAATGGCAAAATGAACTTCGACTCTTGGTTAAGGTGATGTTCTCCAAATTCACTCAAAAGTTTCTACTATTCCTTTATATAATTAAAAAGCAATTTGTGGGGACTCACTTTGTAACTACTTTTTTTGTTGTTTTTTTTTTTTTTTTTTTTTTTTGAGACGGAGTTTCGCTCTTGTTACCCAGGCTGGAGTGCCATGGCGCGATCTCGGCTCACTGCAACCTCCGCCTCCTGGGTTCAGGCAATTCTCCTGCCTCAGCCTCCTGAGTAGTTGGGACTACGGGCACGCGCCACCATGCCCAGCTGATTTTTTGTAGTTTTAGTAGAGACGGGGTTTCACCATGTTGACCAGGATGGTCTCGATCTCTTGACCTCGTGATCCACCCGCCTCGGCCTCCCAAAGTGCTGGGATTACAGGCTTGAGCCACCGCGCCCGGCCTTTTGTTTTGTTTTTTGTTTTTTTGAGATGGTATCTTGCTCTTGTCGCCCAGGCTGGAATGCAATGGCATGATCTTGGCTCACTGCAACCGCCTCCTCCTGGGTTCAAGTGATTCTACTTCTCAGCCTACTGAGTAGTTGGAATTACAGGCAGCTGCCACCATGCCGGCTAATTTATATGTTTTTAGTAGAGACAGGGTTTCATCATGTTGGCCAGGCTTGTCTCCAACTCTTGACCTCATGATCTGCCTGCCTTGGGCTCCCAAAGTGCTGGGATTACAGGTGTGAGCCACCGTGCCTGGCCTGTAACTTTTATTATCTTGTACTAGATCAAACTGTCACCCACAAGTTTTAGTACTAATTGATGATTTTTTTTTTTTTTTTTTTTGAGACAGAGTTTCCCTTTTGTTGCCCAGGCTGGAGTGCAATGGCAGGATCTCTGCTCACCACAACCTCCGCCTCCTGGGTTCAAGGAATTCTCCTGCCTCAGCCTCCCAAGTAGCTGGGATTACAGGCATATACCACCACGCCCAGCTAATTTTGTATTTTTAGTAGAGACAATGTTTCTCCAAGGTGGTCAGCCTGGTGGTCTCAAACTCCCAACCTCAGGTGGTCTGTCTACCTCGACCTCCCGAAGTGCTGGATTACAAGTGTGAGCCACCGTGCCTGGCCCTAATTGATGATTCTTATCTGAATTCATTATTATAATGATGGTTGAAAATGATGATTTTTCTAATCTTATTATCACTTCTGCATTTATTAATTGGTATGAGGAGAGTTTTCCCTTCTCCTTTATTTACTTATTCATTCGTTTGATGGTTAGATTATTCTGAAAAATTGCGATATTCATTATACTGCATTGTTAACTTTAAGGTGGTAAAACTTGAAGAGAACATTCTTTTCCAGACTGATCTCTGATTCTGGGCTATAAATCCCCAAAAAAGAAAGTTTCCAAGAATGAGTATCTCGTGTAGTTTGTCCCAAAGGGAATTTATCCACTTTGATATTTAGGAGGTGTTCCTATATTTTCCTATTATGGCTTCCTATTACTGTCACTGAGATTTCCAATATAATCACATTAAATAGTAAAAACCAACTTACCTAATGCTTAGACAGCTTAGACATCTAGCAGTAGAACTAACTACTGGAAGAGGTTGTAAACCTAAACATAACCTCCGACTCCCCACTGCCAGAAAGAGAGATAAAACAAAAGTGAAGGAAAAAAAAAATGACATGTTGTCTTTGAAAATACCTGTATAAGGCAAAGATTGCTGGAGCCATATATAAAATACAAAAAGCAGCCAGGCGCAGTGGCTCACGCCTGTAATCCCAGCACTTTGGGATGCTGAGGCGGGTGGATTGCCTGAGCTCGGAGTTCGAGACCAGCCTGGGCAACATGGTGAAACCCCGTCTCTCCTAAAATACAAAAAATTAGCTGGGCATGGTGGCATGCGCCCATAATCACAGCTACTCGGGAGGCTGAGGCAGCAGAATTTCAAGGACCCAGGAGGCAGAGGTTGCAGGGAGCCGAGATCACACCACTGCACTCCAGCCTGGGTGACAGAGTGAGACTCCATCTCAAAAAAAAAATATAAATATATATATATATATATATATATATATATATATATATATATAGAGAGAGAGAGAGAGAGCATGCAAAAAAGTAAGAAAAATATAATAAAAAGAAACATTTGTTAACTCTAGGTAGTTGATAACACTGGTGTTTGCTTTACTATTTTCAATACTTTCTTGTGTATTTGAGAACGTTTGTGATCTTCAAAAGCTGGGTAGAAAAAAAAGTAGATGAAAGATAGAAAAGAGACTAGACAAGATAGGCATCAGAGGTTAAGAATGGTGACATAAATAAGTGGCAATAAGCCCTGAAGATCACAGGTTAAGTCGGACAGGAAAGAAGCAGAACATACAGGAGTGTTCTAGCAGATGGGGGCACTCAGGATGAGGCCAGTCAAACCTTCCCCACCTCAGCGGTTTGGAAGACTGTGGTGTTTTCAGCTCAGTGGGATGAATAATGTTCATGGAGATAACCCTACATCATTGGGAAAAGTCAAGTCCTGTTCAGTGAACCGTGTTGACCAAGTAAAGAAATGTGTAGTGTGCTTTAAAATGTTTTCCATCCTGAACAATGAAACTGCTATGTTTGGGGTTTTTTCAATGTTAAGCTTTGATCACCTGGATCCCTCACTTGTCAACAATATCACCTGGTCCCCAATAGGTGTGACTGCATAAAACAGAGCCTGATTCTCAGCTGATCATTCGCTGTGTCTTCCCATGTCCCTGCTGGGAACCAAACCAGGGCTTTGCCACTGCAGCTCAGATCATGTGCTACATTGTTAGTTGCAAATAGTTACAGGTGCTGGTCTGTAGTGGCTGTAGACAGTGAGTTCATTCAGTGGTTGTTCTGTATAATTATATATTCACCCCATTAACAGGATGGTGCTTTAAAACTATTTTACTCTGCTTCCATTTAAACATCATGGGTCCATTGCATTTATAAAAGAGCAATATTGTTGCATTTGTCTTGGGGAGAGGAGACCTCTTAAGTAGACAAGGAGTATGGCTAAACCCAGTTCTGTTTTAAGGTGTGTTTGCACAAATCTAATGCAGTTTAGGGAGATCTTTCTTATTCGATAGACACACGTTTTATATATGTGAGACTGTCCTCAGAACAGGAAAATGTGTCTGGAAGTCTTGCCAAGGGACTAGCAGAAAAAGATGGAGGATGTTTCTGCTTTCTTGCTTTGGGTATAGAATGGGCGGTGAATTAGCCACCTCTTCAAGGCATAGCCAGAGGGGGAGAAATGGAAAAACATATATGGTAGGCAATAAAGACCAAAATAAAGCAACTGTCATACATCCTCCACTGAAACAGGAAATGAGAATGCCCTTGCCTCAAACCCTCTACTTTGAAATGCCTTGTATCACAGAATGCGTGCCTACTGTAAGTCTAAAATAATATGTCTAATATAAGTCAACAGATCTGCAAATGGTGCCTGTGTGCCCACGTTGATTTCAAGATGCTAAAAAGATGCAATAAAACTAGCCTAGGGAACAAAAGAGTAAGCAGGAGCAACATGTATCACTTTACAAAGGTAAAATCAATTTATCTTAGTGGGGTCCTAATTAGTTATAAGTGAACATTTTAGAGGCCTCAAGTGGAGCCTTTTGGGACCTCTGTTTAGCAAAACAGATACTGCCCATTTGCTTGCATAACTTATTTTAAGTAGTATAGTTAAGGGTAATAAAAGCATGATTGGTTTCAAATACTTACATATAATCCAAATTTCACACTCATTCTCCGGGATCAGTCTGAACTAATTATATAATGTAGTTAAGTGACTAATCACCTTGTGAAAAAATTCATCCAGAAGTCTAGTTAAATACAAGGTAAAGTAGGGATGGGAAATATGGTCCAGGCCACAACTCTTAGGAGAAGTAATAGTGATGGCTCATCTTTATGAAGCATATTCCATTTCATGAAACATACTTACAGCTATCATGGCAACCTTGCGAGTCCGTTGTGAACTCTCACGTTAGTTGTTGAAACTTAGCCCATTTTTCCAATAAGAAAACTGACGCTCAAAAGAGATGAAATGCCATGTTCAAGGTCATTTTATTAGAAGTTGGCAGAGCCTAGAATCAGACCTGGGGCTTTTGTCTCTAAATTCTATGCCCAATCCTCTTTCAATCCACCATGCCATAGCAGCTGTTAAAGAAAATGATTTATAAAAATTATTTCTCAAAATCTTGATTCTTCACTGTGCCAATGGTTTTCTCACCCCCATCCTTCATGGGACTCTATAAAATGACCTTGGAGCCCGCGTGGACAACCCTGAGCACTCGGAAATAACTGGTAAACCCAAGACTAGCAAAACAAAATGGCAGCCTGTAATTGCTCTCAGAGGCTACCTTAAATCAGATTACCCTATCTCCTGCCTCTGGACAGACCCACTTCTGACAAGGGGTGCTGTGTAATCCAAATAGGTTTAAGATTTTAAGGAGAAGCAAAGGTGGAAAATCATATTAGGGATGAACAGGAGAGAGAATGTGACTTTACTCTTAGCAGTGAAGTGATGGGCTGAGACATGCACCCATGGCACGTGGATATAGAGCCTGTAGGCATGGAACAGCACCAGTGCAGCATGGGTGAGTGTGCACAGTGTAAATATTGTATGCAGAAACCGTCCAGGGATACATGTTCCTATTTTAGTAAAATCAATATAGGAAGTGGTTATAAATGTGCTTTTCTTGGAAAGGAGGCAGACAAATCTTGATACAGTTTTTCATGTGAGGGCAACGGTCTACTGAAGGTTCACTAAAAAATCAAGTTGAAAAAGACTAATTAGAGAAAAGGTATACAAATGTATTTAATGTGTATCCATGGGAGCCTTAAGAATGAAGTCCCAAAGATACAAGGAAAATTGTTTATTTTTATGCTATGTTCAACAAAGTATGGACAGCTATATAGAAATAGGATTGGACAAAAAGGGTCTGACCTAACACTAATTGACTGAGTGAAAAAACCCAGCAAGGCCTAGATCCTTCTTGGCCTCTCTGAGCAGCGTTCCTTCCTTCTGGGTGTGGGACAGGACACTCTGGAATAGGGGTCTTATGACCTACAATCAAACCACGTTAATCAGATAATTTCTTTATAGCCAGTTTTTACACAGACAGGGCAGAGGGAAAATTTGAGTCGGATATTTGGGTTTTATGGCTGGCTTTGGGGAAAGGGGGTTCTAGTCACTATGACCCATCGTGGGGAAGAGGGATTCTAGTTTCTATGCCTAGCGTCCAGGTAGAACGGAAGTAAAAAACAGGAGGGCAAGAGAAGGTCAAAGAAAAACTTTTGCTTTCTTTTGGGAGTCTTGTTTTTTGACCTCCAACAAAATCTTGGGGCAAGGCAAAGAATAAAGAAAAGAAGGAAGAAAGGAGCTACATATCATATTTTCTAAGCCAGAAATCCAGTTGCCCATGACAAAAGTAAGTGAACACACATGTAGAATATGCCAAAGCAATACAGTGCTTTCCAGCAGCACTTAGCTCACTGCCTTGTGCTTAAGTAGTGAGTCAGTGAGGACTACTTTAAAGCCATCCTCTGTGCCCATGTGGCACTTCACACTTGGTGACGCACTCTCAGCCACTCTTCAATTGGATCCCCACAACAAACCCTGTGAGATAGGAGGCCTTATTCTACAGAGGAGCAAACTAAGGCTGAAAGAGGAGGAATGACTCGCCGAAAGTCAAACACTTGAAAAAGCAGGGCAGTTACCATTGGAGTCAATGGAAGAGCTGAATAGCTCCCCTTGACCCAGTGTGCCAACGCGCTGTGATAAAGCACCTGATGTGCTTCTCATCTAATCCTCCAGCCACTCCAGTGAGATAGTATGAACCCGCGTTGCACAGATGAGTAAGCTGAGGCTGCAAGAGTTAAAGTGAATGGTCTAAAATTACCTGCACAGGTAACCATGGGGAAAGCGAGAACACCAGAGCCGGTGGGTACGAGTCCCAGGCTTCTGTGCTCAATTGCCCTGCTAATCCCGCTTCCCTGCAGCTGTTGTGGCTGATGGCAAGGAGGAGGAGAATGATGTTGGTGGTGACAGTAGTACAGTTCTAGGAGCTTTTGGAGTTTTGTTTTGGCTTTTTTTTTTTTTTTTTTTTTTTGACACAAAGTCTTACTTTGTCACCAAGGCTGGAGTGCAGTGGCTCACTGCAGCCTCAAACTCTTGGGCTCAAGCGATCCTCCTGCTTAAGCCTCCCGAGTAGCTGAGACTACAGGCACACACCACCATGCCCAGATAATTTTTGTATTTTTTGAAGAGACCGGATTTTGTCATGTGGCCCAGGCTGGTTTTGAACTCCTGGGCTCAAGCAATCCGCCCGCCTCAGCTTCTCAAAGTGCTGGGATTCTACGGGCTTTTCATGGTTCACTCATTTAATCATCACCACAACCCAGTGAACAGGGAGCAGTATCATCCCCAATTTACAGAACAGGAAACTGAGACACAGATAATTAAGAAGGTCCCCAGGTTTGCTCCCCTTATGAAGTGGAAGAAACAAGTTTCAAGCCTGGGATTCCAATTCAAGCAGCCTAACTCCAGAAGCCACATTATGCTATCAATGCTTTATGCATTCAACTGCGGCACCTGTGTTTGGAAATTTCATACCTAAATTCCTAATTGTTTTTACAAAAAGCTAAATATTTAAATAGCAGCTCGTCGATGAACGCTAAATGTTTTGTGTGGTCTCTGTGTTTGTGTGTGCAATTCAATACTGACTCGTTTCCAAGCAGCGCGGTGGAGATGTTTCCACATTTAGCCTCCGTGCCTGGGAAGTGAAGGTTGAAACACTCTGGGGAAATCTGTCACCTGTTCTCTGAGTCCACACGCTGCAGCCCATTCTTTGACAAGCTGTGCCCCCTGCTGGTCTCTTCGCAGAGTTGTAACGATGTGGTTCAGGAGCGATTTGGGCCGGAGCTGAAATATGATATAGCCCTGCGGCTGGCCGCGTTACAAATGTACATTGCAACTGTTACCACCAAGCAAACGCAGAAAATCTCCCTCAAATACATCGAGTAAGTGTTGGCTCTCATCTCCATTTCGGAGACAGACATGCCACCTCCTTTAGCCCAGGGGGTATTTTTGTTCTTTGTCCAAAATTGATCTTGTTTGTGGCAAAGCATTTATTCGCTGGTGGCAAAATGTATGAATATCATGCTCATTTCTGGTAGAAGAGATCCATTTCTAATTCACCTTTACAGCATTGTTAAGATGAGGGACATATTTAAAACGAAGCATAAATTTTTCAATTCCTAAAGGGGCTTGATTCCAAGCCAAGCTTTGGTCTCAGCTCTTTTCACACATTAACTTATTTAATTTTCACAACATCCCTATGAGATGGGGTAGGATTTTAGCTTCATTTTACAGGTGAGCAAACCGAGGCACAGAATAACTTGCCCAAGTCAAGTGGCTACTAATGGGGAGATACAGGATTCAAACCTAGGCAGTGGGACTCTCCATTGTGCTACAATTTGTGTGATGCATTGAGGCATCTGTGTTTGGAAACACATGTAATGCTAAAGCCTTGGACCCCCCCTCCCTGCTTACAATCTCACCTCCAAAAGATGTATAAACTAGTTAAAATCCCACTTTCCAAAGAAGCTTCTCAAGCGCTGCCTAGAAAGCCTTTCTAAATTCCACAATGCTAGGTTGACCCACTAGGGCCAAAATGGCTTTTCTCCATAAATTCGTGAGTCTTTTTGCTGGGGAGGATTGGATCTCTAACTTGCCGACTTTAACACCACTGTTCTCACAACTATGAGTCACCTGTTGACATGTAGGAACAAATCCTCATGGGTAATTTGAGAACCTAGGGCCTTCAGTTTACTCTTTCCAGATGGTTTCTCTCTCCCCCACACACGTATACATGACTGTAGCCTAAGAAAGACTCAGCTCACAAAGAGATCTCATGCTCAGCTGGACAGGTTCACGCCCTCTTCCACTCTCCTTTCTGAAGTTCCTGGGGACAGGTGAAGCTGGCTGCCGTTTGAAAAGATGGCCTGCACAACCTGCGATGATTTTCAGACAATTAGAATGCATTTATTTTCCTACTTTCTGTACTCACATTTTACTACGTTGAACATTGTATGGTCAAAACTGACTCAGAGATATCTGGCTTCAGTAAGAATCTTGAAAGGTCCATAATAATGTTCTCATTCATAAATTGCTTTGACCAACAAATATTCATTGAGCATTTTAGATAGCACTCACATTAGGACAGCAGAAAATAGTAATATGTATGAATTATATTCCTGGCCATTGAGAAACCTGTGATCTGATTGTAAAGACAACGTATAAAAAATGTGAAAAGTGATTATGTAATGATACAAGTAGGATTACAAGATAGCCCATAATAAGTGCCAAATGATGGCAAAGGACAGACAATAGGTACAAGTTGAAAAGGAAGAAAACATAATGATCATGAAATATACCATCTTAACTAGCGAAGAATATGAATGGGCAAGTGATAGGGGTAGGTTGTCTTCCTGCCCTTTTTGGAGAGGACCTGGAGCAGGAGAAATAACTGGAATCCTCTTGAGGGTCTTCACATAATTTAGAAGACACTGGTTAGACACATAACCCAGGGTAGGATTTCTATTCCGGGATAGATTTCCTAGAATTCAAAATATGAGCCCTTCTTAGAAAGGGGTTGTAGTCATTTCTGGGGAAATTGGCTCTTTGTAAACATATATTAACGCAGTCCCATTTGTTGTTTTGTTGTATATCCACACCCATGAATGATGCCTGCATCTCCATATCAATACCAGGCACACTTGAGGGTCATGAATCATACCCAGTTCCACACTAGCAGCACAAAATGTTGATGGAAGGAGTTAGACACGAACTGGCTGGGACAAAAGAGAACTGTGTGGGCCTAGAGAAATAGCCATGGAGGAGGGGAGGGACAGGGAAGAATGGTTTGGAGACATGAAAGAGTTGCATCCATTCTTCTAAGAGGAGAGAGAAAGAATGTGAGCAGATAGTGAGATCGGAGAAGAGAAATCAAAAAAGGAATGGAGAGAAATTGGTGTTGGAAATACAAACACGGACACGTGAGAGACTTTGAAGAGATCCAGAAGTCGGTTGGACAAAATGTCTATTCGCTTTCCACTGGTTCCAAATGTCTCCTTAGCATTGTCTCTAGAGAGTGAGGAATAGGTTTCTTTTAAAATGCAAATGATCAAGTAGTGTGTGTCCTGAGTGTAAATTAAAAGTTATTTCCCTAATTGGGGACTTGTCTCCATTCTCTGCCTTACCAAGAGTTCATTTGTTCCAACAAACATCAGAGCCCCATTCTGTCTTAGATAACTAATCATCACAAGAATGTGAAATTAAAGATATGTTCTTTATTGCAGAAAAGAATGGGGATTAGAGACTTTTCTTCCCTCTGCTGTGCTGCAAAGCATGAAAGAGAAGAACATAAAGAAAGCACTTTCACACCTTGTCAAAGCAAATCAAAACTTGGTACCACCGGGTAAAAAGGTATCACATTTGCATCTTAATAGAAAATTATAAAGAAAGGGGTTTGAACGCATTGTTTAAAATGTTTAAAATTAGCTCATGAATAAAATACTTAGCACCATATTTTCAGAAGCAGTAAAACTGTGTAACTTTTTTCTAACTATTAACATGTTTCTAACACTAATGAAAAATAAGTATTCATATAGAAACCTGTTTATTTCTCACAAGTTATGGACTCTGTACTGTAGTGGGGGAGGTGTGTGTTCATGTGCCCCTGCAGGAAAAGTTTGCATAGCCTCTGAGACACTGTGAATAGAAGATAGAACTATGAAATAATTCTATGTTTCAATCACGCAATTTCTTACTGCTCAGACCAGCTTAAATGCACCACAGCCAGCAAGGGGCCTTGCAGGCCAGAGGCCACATTAATTAAACCAGGGATCGTCAACTGTGACATAACTGACATTTGGGAACAGATCATTCTTTGTTAGGGAGTCACAGGGTACAGCCTGTGGATTGTGGGATGCTTAGCAGCATCTCTGCTCTCTATCCACAAGATGCCGGTAGCACGCTCCTGTGATCATGACAAACAAAAATGTCTCCAGACAATGCCAAATGTGCTCTGGGGAACAAAATCACCCCTGTTGACAAATGTTGGATTCAATCCTATCTTTGGAGGGAAGACAAAATTATTGCTGTCATTCACCATCATTAGTGTTAAAATGTTTTTATGCTTTTGTTTTTATTTTCCTTAAGTAGGAGAAACACAAAGGACATTTTAAAATAGACTGTTGGTCAGAAAAGCGAGGTATGGTTGATAGGTAATAAAAAACAAGAGACTCCAGGAACCAGAAAGAGAAGGAGCCTTAAAATACTGGATCTATAAAATTGGAAGCAGTCTTACAACCAAGAACACTTTGTAATTGATATTAGCGGGAGAAATCTGTGTGACTCTAATACAAATCATTTTATGTGGAGAATTATTTTGTCTTAGTATCTGATTTTTTAAGTCATTTTTACTGGGTAAGGCACATTTATTTCTATCCCCTCTTCACCCATGATGCTTTTTTTTTTTTTAAGTATAATCAGGTTCAACACACTGTCAGCCACCTTTGACTCACTTCCCAGTTTCATGGGAAGGATGTCTTCGATCACAGTGAGCATTCAGCTTACAGAGATGTAGCAAGATGATGCGGGTCAAGTGCTTTTTAACTTCAGTTCTGATTTGCTGGAAGCTAATTTCTATAATTGTGATTTTTTTCAAGCCTGGCCCGCTCGATAATTTAGATAACTGCTATAAGATCAATCAACCTATCCATTTATCCATCACTGTCCTTCTTCAAAGGTTGTTTTTCTAGCCAAGAGTGAATAGTTGGCTTTCAAAACAATTTGCACATGCTTTGCATTTTTGAAAGAGGGATGGATGAATTGTGCTAAATAAAAATTACATAAAGAGCAGTACGTTTAGATATAGTTAACAAATAAGTTGGCAAGTCATCTGCAATTGAAAACAGAATTTTATGTTCATTGCTACTTAATGGTGGTCTGCACCTTGTTGGAAAATTTCAACCTTAAACATCCCTGGCACATTCCGTATGAAACATAGACCTTGTTTCAAAAAAATCAAATACTCTTTTTAGTGATATGGGAACCTACATTTTTAAATCTTTGTAAAGATAACTTTTATCTGGATAAAATTTCATTTATAAATCATTCATGAAACTCAACAGATTTTCCAAGCTGAATTAATAAAACAGAGCCTTATATAGCAAGTTCAAACATTTCCCCAGAAAATTTGCAAGGACTGGAAGAAACTTGAGAGGGGAAGTATAAAGAGCCTGTTTAAAAGGCTTTGCCTAGATTGCAGTGGGTATTCAAAATGTTTCCCATAAGTCTACATTCAGGTGAGTCTCTTGTGCAGTGGGAATATATCTAGACACCTCATCTTGGTCCATAATTGCAAGTAGAAGGCACCACTCACCTCTTGAAATCTCCCAGTGAGCAGATGTTCAGTGGAACATTTTATGGTCTTGTTCTCACTTGTTGAGTGCCCTGGCACAGCATATCTATACCCATGAGTGCCCCATACATTGACCCCCTAATAAATAAGATTTGAATCTTGATGTCATGTTTCAGTCCTTCATCAGGAAGCCAAATATATAGCAACTTTATTCCTAATGAAGAGTCTTTGTCACACCCCAACTTTTCAGCAGTACAATCATCCTTCTATCTTACCCTTGTTTTCTGCTGGTCTCCAGCTGAAATGGAGTCATACCCAATGGCATTAACTAACACCTGAGTTTTCTTTTCTCTCCTCAGCTCTCTGCACTACAAGCCAAGGTCCATTATCTCAAGTTCCTCAGTGACCTGCGATTGTATGGTGGCCGTGTGTTCAAGGCAACATTAGTGGTAATTGCTTTTTTCTTTTTTTTTTTTTTTTTCTTTTCTTTCTCTCGGAAGCCACAGCATCTCATTCCACCTCTGATGATAAAAGCACATCAGCTGCGAATCTTCTCCAGCCATCATTTCTAACCAACTTCACAACAGTCTGAAAATATCAGAAGAAATGTTAAACTAGAAAATACCACTGCAGAATGCCCTAGAAAAAGAAATGTGAAGAACCAAGAGAATCAAAGGATTCTAACAATGGCCTTTTTTAAAATCATTGTGCCAGAAGTTGCTTTCACAGTAAAAGAAGAAAGACTAAAAAGAAAAGCCTTATTTCTAAAAGCATCTTATAATTATGAGCATACTGTGCTATAACATTTACTTTCTAATTATTCATAATTTATCAGAGCCTCCATTCATGTATCTGGTTCTTCTAATTGGATGATTTAGTACAGTATGACCCAGAAACACTTTCTAAAGAAAATGTAATCTTATAAAAATAGGATCGTAGGTTCAAGTTGGCATGGTGTTTCAGTTCAGTATTTTTATGTTGTCAACCTCTCTTTCTCAGCAGGCAGAAAAGCGCTCGGAAGTGACTCTCCTTGTTGGGCCCCGGTATGGCATAAGCCACGTCATCAACACCAAAACTAATCTGGTGGCCCTTTTAGCCGACTTTAGCCACGTCAACAGGATCGAAATGTTTTCTGAGGAGGAGAGTTTGGTGCGGGTGGAACTCCACGTGCTGGATGTGAAGGCAAGTTTTTCAGATGTTGATACATTGCCTTGCTGTAAATAGCTAATTTCTGATAACACTGCTGGTGTTTATAAGGCAGTCAAGTGTCAATGTGTGCAGAGCATCACAGATGCAATGTAGTGCAGAAAATAATCCACCCAACTCAGGCCTGGGGTGCTCCAGTTCTCACTGAATTGCTGTGTGGTTGGGAACAGGTCGCTATACTTCTCTGGGCTCAGTTTTTTTAATTCATACATCACAAAGCAAGATATATAATTTCTAGGTCCCTTCTGACTTTAGAATATATGATTTATAGTTATAGAGTAGGGGAAACTTTTCTGAACTAACTTTCTAGAATATATGACTCAAATCAAGAGGGGGATTTTCCCCAACTCTCTTTAGAATTCTCACTCCCTTTACTTAGGTTGGGTCCATGTGTTTATTCTTTTGGAAAAGCTTGATGTTTTCGTTCTTCTGCCTTCTCACGGTTGTTCTTCTCATATGGTAGCAATTTATACAGATTGAACATCTGACCCCAAGAATTTTACGGCCGTTCTATTTAAAACAAAAATCTGGCTGGGCGCAGTGGCTCACGCCTGTAATTCCAGTACTTTGGGACGCCGAGGCAGGCAGATCACGAGGTCAGCAGTTTGAGATAAGCCTTGCCAACATGGTACCCCATCTCAACTAAAAAAACAAAAATTAGCTGGGTGTGGGGTGTTTGTCTGTAATCCTAGCTACTTACGAGCTGAGGCAGGAGAATCACTTGAACCCGGGAGGCAGAGCTTGCAGTGAGCCGAGATCATGCCATTGCACTCCAGCCTGGGTGACAGAGTGAAACTGCATCTCAAAAAAAAAAAAAAAAAAAAAAAAATCTGAGATGGTCCACAAAGGGCAAAAGCCTACTCCCAAAAGAGAATAGGAAATAGTCCAGGTTCCTGGTGTCCACCTTCTTTTCCCAGTAGGGATGAGTTATTGGATTTTGGCAATGGCAATACTCCTATTGTTTCTATAAAGAAAAAGCACTGGAACGAAGGGCAATAGTGACTCCGCAAAGGAGACAACATCAGCCTGGAGGGTGCTCTGAGAACAGCCAGGGAGGACCCAGCACTACCTGCATCCCCACTAGGGTGGTGTGGGAGGAGTGGATTAACAGTAATTGAGAATGTGGCCAAGCACATCAGAATACACCAGAGAGCTCTGCAGTTGGAACAGATGATCGTGAAAGAATGTGGAGCTCAGACATGCTGGGTATGGCCTATGGGATTTCATGGGCTGGATTCAGAGGGTTCCCATTGACTTCATGGCAAACTGAAAATGTGAGGATAGACTTGGAATGCCCACCTACCCCACGAGCAAAGAGGCTGAGAGAAATAGCCCCATCACGGAGACAGGTGGATGAAAAGGTGAACTGCATGCAGTTATTACAGATCTGATTACAGAGATAATCTGTCCTAAACAGAAATGAGTGGCGTGCCTGGCTGATGGTGTCATGCCTGTATAGAATAATGATGTGGTGGCTTGGATGCTGAGGGGAGACCTCAAATGAAGTGGAAGGAAAGGCAGTTCAACAAGTAGTACAGGGGCTTTGGCAGGGAAGTTACATTCTACCAGCTGGGGTCATTGAACCGGCCAGTGTCCTATACCTAGGATTGAAAGGAAGAAGCCTGCTGTCTCGCTGTCTCTGTGCCTGTCCTCGTATCTACTTTTTCTTGATTATTTCTCTCTTACTTTCTCTTTTGACAAGAATATACCCTTCCTAACTCAATGAGAAAAACTGCTTCATCAAACACTTTTTTCCCCTATAAGCCCCAAATCCATGTCCAGTTGTATCATAACCTCATGGTTTCAAGAGAGTTTTAGTTAGGCCTTTTCTCAGCTCCCATCTGTTTTACCCTCCTGTAAATTTACAATTGCATTTAGAAGCAACCTTTTACTGGATCTCTGGCACTTTTCAGTCTTAGCAGTCATTTCCACTGGAATTGTACCCCTCTTTAACACTAATTTATACTGTGAACCCAAAACTTGATCTTTCTGTAATTTTCAGATTGTGAGTTCACTGCTGGTAACTGAAGTAACTGGTAACTTAACTAGTTAATTTACCAGTGTAACATGTTTAATTGTTTTTAAATGCTAAAAATGTTAATTATTTGGGAAGAAAACAATCTTTTTTCATTTCAGTATGGTTTGGGGGCCAGGTGCAGTGGCCCACACCAGCAATCCCAGCACTTTGGGAGGCTGAGGCGGGCAGATCATTTGAGGTCAGGAGTTAAGAGTCCAGTCTGGCCAACGTGGCAAAACCCCGTCTCTACCAAAAATTCAAAAATTAGCCTGGCATGGTGGCGCATGCCTGTGATCCCAGCTAGTCGGGAGGCTGAGGCGTAAGAGTCACTTAAACCCAGGAGGCGGGGGTTGCAGTGAGCCGAGTTCATGGCACTGCACTCCAGCCTGGGTGACGGAGCAAGAACCTGTCTCAAATATATATATATGTCTCTCAAATATATACATACATATACACACACACACATATATATATGTATATACACATATATATGACTTGGAAGTGATTCAAAATGTCCAGGATTTTTAGATGGTGTGTCCTGAATGTTTCTCAGTAAGGCACTTGGTGTTATCCTTGGCTTTTTCTCCTGCTTTGGGTTTCTCCCATGAAATGATTAATAGCTCCTTTTTCCATAAGCATAAATGCAGCCATTGACACTCGAGAGACATTATTAAGAATGGTAGGCTTTAACCAAAATGTTCTCTTTTGTGTAGCCCATCACGCTCCTGATGGAATCCTCAGATGCCATGAACCTGGCCTGCTTGACGGCTGGATATTACCGGCTGCTTGTCGATTCCAGGAGGTCAATATTTAACATGGCCAACAAGAAAAACACAGTGACCCAGGAAACAGGTATTCTCTTCCTGAACTCATGTAGCACTGACCTCCCTGCAAACACCCCACCTGACCATAAGGATGTTTCCTGAAAAGTTAAAATTGTACCCACAAAAAAAATCTAATGTACAAATTCAACATAAAAAGCCTTCAGATACCTCTGATGTGGGCTAATTGTTAAAAACAAAAATGCTGATTTCTCAGCACATTTGACATATCACTCAGAAATGTCAACCTTGATTTTATTATCGTGAAAGTCTCTATGGTTGGGTTTTCATGGTGTTACTTTTACAGAGGACTAGTGATGGAATGCCCAAACATGACTTGTGAGCCCCTGCTTTAGGGCTGATTTCTCCTGGAGGTGTCCTAGGCCTGGTGTCTGGGAGCCTCCTCCCTGTAGTCAGACTTGTTAGGCACGTCACTTGCATAAAGAGACTACCAGGCAGGCTGTGTGTGAGCAACATGGCTGTTTATTCAGCTGGGTGCAGGCAGACTGAGTCTGAAAAGAGTCAGTGGAGGGCGGTAGGATAGAAGTTGGTTTTTTTAGGTTGGGGCAAGTGGTCAGTTAAAAGTGGTCATCTATTTTAGGGAGGGGAAGGGCATCACGGATGCATTGTCACAAGGGTAGGGGTCATCTATTACAAACAGGCATGATTATAAGGGTGGGGGTTATCAGTTACAAGCAGAGGGGCAGGGAGGTAAATTACATAGTTATAGGGTTGGGGTCTTGAGAAACCCAATGTCCAGGGGCGAAATTCCTCAAGGCTGAGCAGGAACAGTGGTTGCAGGGGGAGAGCAATTATTAGTGGAGGCAGGAACAAGTTGTTTGTTTTACTTCTTTCTGTGGTCACCTGGTTACTTGTGGTGACTTCAGACTTTCTGGCTCCTGGGGACCATCCAGAGGTGTACGTGCAGGTCACCAAGGCTATAATGGCCAGGCTTGGACTTGGAAGCCTGGCATTCTCATCTTTTCATATATGTATAAGGAAAAAAGTTAGAGAAGGGAGTAGAGGCGATGTTTCTCATGGCTTCTTTGAGCATAACAGGGCGCTGCGCAGACACCTAAAAGAAAAGCTCATGATTTTTGTAGTTTAGTAGGTGTTTAGCCAAGTCCTTAGAAACATAATAGCTTTTAGATGGGTGGTGATGAAGTCTTGAGCCAAGGTCAGAATAGTTTCCGGTGTAGGGGGGTGCTCCAAGAAGATTTGGATGGAAAGGGATATGTGCCACGCTGCATCTTGACATTAGCTGGGCTCTGCCTGGAGCTCATGAGTGATGGATTGGTATTTTTCGTTGATCCTAGAAGGGTGAAGACTGTGAAATAGGGTTGGGGAGATAAGACAGGCAAATAACCAGGAAGAGTTGCCAAGGCATCTTATCTTAAGCAGCTGAGAGGTCCGGGGACGGGGTAATATTGTGAGGTTGTTAAAAGTAGCATTTGCCATATAGAGTGATTATGGATGGCCTGGATACGGTTTTATAGGATTGAGAGACTAATCGGAAAACCCAAGGTCTGAATAAGAGAAGGAAGACAGGTATTAAGGGAGTAAGGACTGGAAAAAGTCATGTCATTCAGCTAGAAAACGGCCAGGTCGATTTGGCGTAGTTATTTGCCTGATAGCAAATTTTGGGGCTTTGCCTTTGAGCCTTTTGATATTATTATAAACTATGCCAGACTGATTTAAGTAAAAACAGCATTCCTTATTTAGAAATAATGTTGTGACAGAGGTAGTGACCCCTGCTCTGCCAGTTCCAAGGCCTACAGTGGAGGCTGCAATCCCTATTCCCACGAGTAATGGAACGAGCTGGATGACTTTTTTAGTAGGTGTCATTAGGGGGACAGGCAGTTGTTCGTTGCTACTGGCAAACTGGATTCTAGGAATAAGGAAGACTAAGTCACAGGTGCCTGTCCGGTTAGTAGGTAGACACATAAAGAGGCCTGGGGCAAGGCAAAATTGAAAATGTAGGGTGACAAGTTGGGAGGGATCCTTGAAAGAGGAGTTAGATACCCAAACTCCTAAAGATCTTGCAAGGACAGCAGCAGTTAGAGGTTGAGAGGGAGATTGATGGGGTAACAGTAGTGGAGACAGTTTGATTTTCATCATGTATGAGGAAGCATGTAGTATTAACGAATAGTCTGCTGCTAACATTTGTAGGGCCAGGTATGAGTAAGCATGAAGAGGGGCTAGGAGAAGAATCCAAGGAACAGGGAGAGAGTGGCCAAGGACGGAGTGAGAGAGAAGGTGCTGACCTAGACGATAATAACTTAATAGTTTTGAGGTTACTAGTAGTGATAGAGGGTTTGTCAGTAAAGCAAAGTGAATATGCTCCTAAAGGCATATTAACATGTGTGTCAGGGCTTTGGAGATGAAGAGTAAAGCCGCACTTAGAAGGTGGAAGATTATCCAAGGGAATTCCAGTGGTTCGTTGATGGGAAATGCATAGAGGAACTGGAGTGGAGATAGTTGTGTGCGGAGTGGAGTTGATATGAGGTGAGAGTTGCTGTAAATAGTTGCAGAGAAGTATAGCAGCTTGTTGGTATGAAATGTTTGAGGATGTCTTCATGAACTCATCTAAGAAATAGAGAAGCTCCATGGGAGGGTAGAGATAGGGACTGTTAAAAGAATTGCGGAGGTGTAGGGAGACAGGAGAGGTAGCCTGATCGCTGGAAGGGCAGGAATAGCGGTTTAAGGAGAGGAGACAGGGAGATGCAGAGCCAGCAATTTTTTTTTGCCAACAATGGGTTGGAATCAGTGAAGCCAGAATGGGTTAGATTGATGGTATGTTGAAGGTAATTAAGAAGGGATAGGGAGTGACAGAATGGGACAGAGTGAGCAGAAAAGTAAAGAAGAGAACTTTATTAGGGTGGAAGAATTGGAGTGTCCCTTGCCATGTAAGGTCATTTATCCACTCAAGGAAGAAGTCAAGGGTGGAAGTTCATGGGTAGAACCACAAGATGTCAGCTAAAATGGTCTGGAGGAAAGCGGTGAACCGGCAAGGCAGCAGATGTAGGGCACGTAAAATGTAAATGAGAAGGGCAATCAGAAGTATGATTAGACAGAAAGCAACAGAAATAGAGAAGTTGTGATGTGTCCATCAAGTTTTAGGGGTGACTGTGCAGGGTCCTGTTGCAAGTAGCAAAGTTAAGAAAAGGATTCCTGTCAATGTTAGAATATAATCTAAACTCATGTGTGGTTTGTGTCTACTCTTCAGGAATTCGAGTTAGCTTAAGAGAAGTAGAAGAGAGTACTCGCAACTTCCAAGAGGAGGCGGATGGCCTAGGCTGGTCATCGGATGGACACAGTTTAGTCCCAGACTGGCGAACCCAGTGGGGAGGGTCTTGTAGACAGACAGCAGTTGGGGTACCATAGACAACCAGGTAGAGACCCTTCCACCGAGGCTGGAGACCTGGAGAAGTTACATCCTTGACCAGCACTGATCCAGCTAAGGTGTCCTCATAAGGCCGGGTATCTGGACTGGGTAAGACGCAGCTTGCTGAATTTCCTGCCTAGTTTGTTAGAGAACTAGAAGATAGTCTTCAAGAGGACTAGTGTCTGGGAGCATGTTAGGCCCAGCAAAAAGGTACGGCCATATTAGAGTTCAAAGGGGCTGTATCCTGTGGGTTTTCAGGGAGTGGCATGAATTCTGAGGAGAGCAATAGGTAGAAGGGATACCAGTTCTTTGTTAGTTGAAGGGTGAGTTTGGTTAAGATGTGTTTTTAGAAGGCCATTAGCTTTTTCTACTTTCCTGATGACTGAGGGCGGTAAGGGGCATGGATATTCCATGGAATGCTAAGGGCCTGAGACACTGCTTTGGTGATTTGGCTAATTAATGAAAGCAGGGCCATTGTCAGATCGTATGGAAGTAGGCAGGCCAAATCAAGGAATGATATTTAACAGACAAATAACAGCAATTGCCTTTTCTGTTCCAGTAGGGAAGGCTTTAATTCACCCTGTAAAGGTATCTGCCCATACAAGAAAATATTTGAATTTTCTGATATGAGGCAAATGAGTAAAGTTAACTGCCAATCTTGTGTGGGGACAAATCCCTGTGCTTGGTAAGTGGGAAAGGGAGGAGATCTTTAAAATCCCTGGAGATTGGTAGAGTGGCAGATGGAGCACTGAAATGTAATTGTTTTAAGGAGGGACTTGCATGAAGGGAAGGATGTAAGAGGTTCTAAGAGATAGGCCAAATGCTTATATTCCACATGAGCATGGTTATGAAAGGAAGAAAGGACAGAGTGGGCTTGCAAGTCAGGAAGAAGGAATTTTCCTTGATTCAAAACCCAACTGCCTTGAGTGGGAATTTACCAGTAGGTTAAGGGTTTAGAAGGAGAGTAAGTAGGAGTAATTGATGAAAAAAGAATATATTGTCTGCTAAGAGGGGATTTTGGTGCATTTGCTGCCTTCTTAACTGTTTCATTGGCAAATGCATTTCCTTGGGCAATGGGATCTAAATTTTTTTGATGTCCTTTAGAGTGGATGACTCCAGCCTTGGCTGGGAGGAGAACAGCCTTAGGGAGGGCATTTATTAAGGGGGCATTGATAATAGAAGACCCCTGCTTGGTAAGAAAACCTTTTTGCCCATCTGGCAGCATGGTGGTGTAGGATGTGGAAGGCGTATTTAGAGTCAGTCTAGATATTTACATGTAGTCTCTTAGCACGAGTAAGAGCATGGGTTAAAGCAATGAGTTCAGCTTGCTGAGAAGTGGTAGAGGGAGGGAGTGTGGCGGCCTCAATGATAGATGAGTGGGATACAACCGCATAACCGGCTTTAGCCAACTGACTGGGCTTTGAAGAACTGCCATTAATAAACCATGTTTGGTATGGGTCTGGAATGGGAAAGAGAAATATGTGGAAACGGGGAGGATGCTATATGAATTAGAGAGATACAGTTATAGGGTTTGGGACTTGTGTCTATGTGTGGTATTAGATGAGAGGCTGGATTAACATCGGGGCTGTGTGCAATAGTCACGGTGGGAGTGTCGATAACGAGTGAATAGAGTGGATAAGATGTGG